TCTTCATTTTTTTATGACAGTGAGCAATTTCCATCCTGTCGTATTGCCGCCGCCCCTCCCCCGTTGTCAATGCTGAAAATGCTTTCAAATAAAAAAAAGAAAAAGGAGTGAAACCACACCTTACATTGACAAAACGATCAACATCCACGATCGTTGGCGATCTTTTCTGTCACTCGACAATCGCTCCATATGTTAAACAACTCACACTCAAAAACGAAGACGAAGCATATTTGAAAAAGATTGACAAGAAAAGGCTCAAAAGAAAAGAATTCCATGAACTCAAAACAAAACGTGGCATTTAAAAAAAAAAAAAAAAAAAAGCAAAAGAATCAGCTGGAACAATTGCCACCTTTGACAACAAGTAGCTGAAAATTGCTCATCGACGACACGGGACTGTGTTGTGCGGGGGATTCGGATCGTGACTTAAGACGACGTGAAGCACACAAGTTTGATTGCGGTTGAATTTTTTTTATTTTTTTTGGGAGTAGCAAAACAAAAAAAACAAAATCTGTGACAAGCACATCGGCACGGAGATCCTTTTTGTCCATTTTGCCGCCAAACGGACAATCCGGATTGGACCCGCCCGTCCTGACCAGAAAAGCGTTTTGATGACACGGAAGGCATCCTTCGTGGGCCCGACCCGTTTAGGCCGCGTCGGTTGCGGATTGGGCCCCCCGTGAGAGGGGGAGCTTTAGTCCGGCAGGGCGGGAGGCCAGTCCACGTCGACGGACTGCGGGACAGGAAACGGACACAAGAATTGTAATTTTCAATTTCAAGACAATCTCGCAAGCAAAGACCGAGTTGCTTTTCGACGGATATAAAGGTGGATTTCTTTCAGACGTTTTTTCAAAGCGGCCACCCGACAAATAAGAGGGAATGGGAGCCCGAGCGCGAGACCAACCTCCACATCAAGTTCCAGTATGTCGGCGTGCGTGTCGAGTAGCTGACACAAATTTGGTTTCGTGCGGCCAAAGTCGCCGTGGACAAACTCCTTGATGTAGCTGAGGGGGGGGGGGAAACTTGAGGAGAACAACTTGAAAATTGGAGAGAAAACAAAACAAAACAAAAATTGAAGTCGGGAGGCGCAACCGAGAGTCGGTCGGTCAAGTCCGAGGGGAGGGAGCGAGGAGGAAGAAGAATCGGGAGACAGCGAGCCGGCCGGCGGCTAAAGCCCAAGCCTGGAGCCTGACCCGGGAGGCGGAGTCATCGGAAGGAAGGCGGAGTCGGGAGCCCGAGCCAAAGTCGGCGGGCGAGAGCGAGGATACGTTCCGGCCTGCGTCCTGAGGCCGAGCCGGAAGTGGTGCTCGTCCAGCAAGTCGGCGCTCATGCTGTGGACGAGGCGCTGGCGCACCGCCAACGCGCGGCGGTGCAGAACCCGCAGGGGGGTCTTCTGGTCCACCCTCAGGTCCTGCGGGCACAAAACGCAAGCGCGAGCGACACGCCGACCCCGTTGTCGTCCCGCTTTCAAGCGGTCGACGGCGTCCGCGTTTTTGTCTCGGCAAACCGCGCGCTCTTGGACCATCGCGGTGTGACGGCGATCGCGGACTCGACTTTCGGCGACGACCGTCGGCCTCAGCGACAATCGTCGATCTCGGCAACCCGCGCGCTCTTGGACCATCGCGGTGTGACGGCGATCGCGGACTCGACTTTCGGCGACGACCGTCGGCCTCAGCGACAATCGTCGATCTCGGCAACCCGCGCGCTCTTGGACCATCGCGGTGTGACGGCGATCGCGGACTCGACTTTCGGCGACGACCGTCGGCCTCAGCGACAATCGTCGATCTCGGCAACCCGCGCGCTCTTGGACCATCGCGGTGTGACGGCGATCGCGGACTCGACTTTCGGCGACGACCGTCGGCCTCAGCGACAATCGTCGATCTCGGCAACCCGCGCGCTCTTGGACCATCGCGGTGTGACGGCGATCGCGGACTCGACTTTCGGCGACGACCGTCGGCCTCAGCGACAATCGTCGATCTCGGCAACCCGCGCGCTCTTGGACCATCGCGGTGTGACGGCGATCGCGGACTCGACTTTCGGCGACGACCGTCGGCCTCAGCGACAATCGTCGATCTCGGCAACCCGCGCGCTCTTGGACCATCGCGGTGTGACGGCGATCGCGGACTCGACTTTCGGCGACGACCGTCGGCCTCAGCGACAATCGTCGATCTCGGCAACCCGCGCGCTCTTGGACCATCGCGGTGTGACGGCGATCGCGGACTCGACTTTCGGCGACGACCGTCGGCCTCAGCGACAATCGTCGATCTCGGCAACCCGCGCGCTCTTGGACCATCGCGGTGTGACGGCGATCGCGGACTCGACTTTCGGCGACGACCGTCGGCCTCGGCGACAATCGTCGATCTCGGCGTCGGTCGGCCGCGTTTGCCGTCGACCAAGCTCAACCTTTGTTACCGTCGAGGTCGACGTTGTCCCGGTTTGGCGTTTGTCGACGGACGGCCCGCGCCCGCCCCCTCGACGTGAAATCGTATGGAAGCGAGCGAGGAACCGCCGAGGTGGAGTCCACATTTCGGGACGGGCAAATCCGCATCGACCGGCCTCCTCCGGTTGAAACGTATTTGCAAGTACGTTGGTTGTTTGTTCCCAAAAATCGAGAAGAAATGCTCCGGAGCAGGCCCCGCGCGGCTCGATGTCGCGGACGTTTCTCGTCAAACCTCGATGCGGTTGACGAAGGCGACGTCGTCTTCCCGGATGGACTTTTGCGTCCACACCAAGGCTCGGTAGGACTTGGTCTTCTCCTCCTCGCCCTCCTTCATACGGCTCGCGGCGTCTCTACGCGCACGCATCGGGGCGAGAGTTTGGCCACGCCTCCCCGTCAGGAAAAAGGAATCGGGGTTCCCCGTCGCCGCGGCTTCGTACCTGCCCACCATCTGCAGATCTCGGACTCGGACCTTCTCCGAAGACGCGTTGATGACCTGCGAGACAAGCGGTCGTTGGCCGACGCCCGCAAAAAGACACGCGCGGTCGACGCCGGTCGCGGCACCTGCTGCACGTTCTTCATGCTCTCCGGGCTCAGTTGGCTCTTGCGCGGGTTCAGCAGCTCCAGCGCAAACGGTCGACCTGGGAGGGGTGAATGGTGAAGAGGAGAAAAAGCAGGGGGGGGGGGCTCGTCCGTCGCCGTTTACCGTTTCCCAGGGTGCGGACGTCCACGTCCTCTCGGCCGGACGACGAGAAATTAAATCCTGCCCCCAAAAAAGAGAAGAAGCAAAGTTTGCCAGCCTGGCCGGGGGACGGCGCGAGCGACCCGCCGAAGACCCCGTTGCGCTTTTTTTTTTTTTTTTTGCAAACGACCGTCCGGCGCTTCGCCGCGTTTCAAAGCGCGATCGGCGACTCAACAATGGTCAAGACGGAAGGTCCGTTCACCTCGCGCTCCGAAGGCGGCGAGCACGGACGCGTGGACGCACCGGACCTCCGGCGGCGCGCAGCCGCTGCTCGGACGGGACGGCGGACGGGGTGAGCGTCTGACACACAAAGCGACAACTTTTCAGCGGCGTTTGGGGGGGGGGGGGCAGGCAAACTTCCTCGGTGGAGTTACTCGAGAAATTTGTCATCCGGGATCTTCTCCAGAGCTTTCGCCACCGCCATTCGGGTAAACGCCGACTGCACACATACGCTTTTTGGGTTTGTCGGCCATTCTCGACGCCGCGCCAGCTCGCCAGCTCGCTAGCTCGCTCACCTGTTTGTTCTTGCTGACTTTGAAGCAGTCGGGACAAGTGGACGCACTGAAAGGAGAGGTGGGGGGGGGGACACAACAACAACAACAACAAAAGGTCTCGTCGGGCGTTCCGGAAAAGTCGTGGCGGCGGCGGCGGTCGGACGCTCGCAACTCACAGGAAGTGGCAGTCGGCGTCCGTTTCCGGGTGAGCGAAACACACGCTGACCTCCAGTGGGCTCTCAACACACACACACACACACAAAAAAAACAAAAAACAAAAAAAAAAACATTTGAGCAACGAATTTCAAGCCTGCCGCACCAAATGTCCCGTTTCACCTTGAGCGCGGCGCGGCGTTATGACACGACAAATTGAATGCGGGCTTTCACGCGTGATCGACTAAAAACGTGTCACATTCACGACCTCGCTTTTGGACCAGAATCCGTTCGGAAAAAAAAAAAAAAAGAATAAAAAAAAAAAACGATTTGTTTTGAAAACCAAAACCGCGTTTCCCATTATAATCAATGTTATTTTTTTTAATCCGTTCCAAGTCTGGAAAAACACAACTTTGAAGACGAAACCCCGGCGAGAAACTTCAAAGCCCACTTCCAAAACCTCTCCCGACCGGAGACGGCGCCATTTTGAATCCCTCGGCCTCGTCCGGAGCCCCGGCGGCCAACCACCC